TCTAATCAAGCGAATGATAAACAACTCAGCTGCATCTCGAAAGATATTATCAAAAGAGAAATCTAATATAATTAATTTTCAACAAAGACATTCCTACTGATCTCTGGAAATATAACAAGAAGGATTATAGATGTAAAGTTTGAATTTATTGTGGCATTGCTGTTGTTCAAAATACAAATTATGATTACGTTATGCATGATTTATGTGCATCAGTGAAGGCTTATTAAAGTACTTGCGAACCAAAGTTCAGTCATGGTCACGAAATTTTAAGAAAAATTAGCAACGATCACTCCAAGCTCTACAATTGAACTATATAGTTACCTTGAAATCATTATTTTTAGTTTTTGTACACAAGGTTTAATATTGATTCTATGAAAATCATGATAAATACGTGCTAACTAGGTAAAAATACAATACCAATCAAACTCACTTATCTCGCTTTCAATAACCGAACAAATATGTAATATGAAAATCTTTAACTTCATTTTTTAATGCGATTTATCAATGACATTCCTTTCTCATATTTCACACGAAGCTTTATTCAACAGAAAGATTCTTACTCAGATAGTTCCAAAAAATGTACATATTTCAAGAATACGATACAATACAAACAATTATACTTTAGTAAACATAGCGATTAAATCATAATCGTCATGATGATAACAGCGTATATATTTTTAATAAACAATACTTAACAAGACATAGTTAAATTGTATAGTTTATTACAACGTTACACAATATCAAAAGTCTTTAAAATGTCATTTAATGTATATAATCGATTCAGTAAGTAACAGCTCATTTAATTATAACACAGTATTGACTTCCACTATTGATCGTGGAGCAACACGATTCATTTGACGACGATTAATTTTTTCTTGCAAATACTTAAAATATATATTAGTAAGAACATGAACTAATTGTCGACGAAAACGGGATGATACACAACAATAAATATAGAATTGAATCTAAATATACAATGTTATTTTTCGTTTCTCAACTATTTATTTGATTTAAATTAATTTACCGAAAAATTTCCATAAAAAATGATACGTGTTATTGAACTAATCAGTTGATTTTGTGCAATACTAATTGAATCAGAAAATATTACAGCACTAGAATACCAATGATTGTAAATACTATAAGGTAATGTAATAATAACGTCAACAACGACTTCAATTAATACCTTAAACGAAGAACAAAAAAACATTAAAAAAAAGAATATTATTTTTATTGTTAATACCATTGCTGTTAATTGTTTATCACGTTCTAATCGAACGATTGGTACTCGACGATTATGTAACTGACGAACATTAATAAAAGCAAGAAGACCAAAAGTAATACGAATAATTAAAGGTAAAATACCAAGTAAAACAGGAAAAAGAAATCGAGAATAATAAATAGAATAACCTGTATTTATGGATGAACAACTTGTTTGACCAGTTCCAAGTGGTGGATAAAGATCTTGAAAGATAACTATTGGAATTCCATGTAAAAACGACACTATAAAAGCAACTATAACAAGACGACTGGCTATTTGAAGATTACAAAGATGACGCCCACGATTTGTTAATAATAAAAATTGATCGATTGCTGCAAAACACATACAAGAAAAAATAATCAACATAGTTGTAATCAATGTAAATTGCCGTGCTTTACACAAAACTGATGAAGTCTTTGTTGGATCAATATCATAACCAGTTATAAGTATACGAGATAATAAACCAACAACAAGTTGAAAAATATTGACAGCTGATGTAACATTCATATAGAAAGCAGCTGAAGTTTCTCGAAATGTTTTTAATGATGTAAATATAATAATATTTAATATATTTCCAGTAATACCAATGCCAAATACAAAAAAACCACCATAAATATTACATCGATTAGTAGCATGCTTGAGTGAATCGACAATCATAGAAGACATTTCTACAAAGTAACTTGACAGCAGATATAGGAGTACTGTTGTTTTTTCATCTTTTTAATAATAATGATGTTCGAAAGTGCAGAGTGTCAAATGTTTCATAATTAATTTTTCTATATCGGACTCCCTGTTTCTACTATCTGGGCTTCTTTAATCAAAGAGATTTGTGAGGATAGTCTTGTATTAGTAAACTGAACCTAGTTTCGACATAGATAGCCGTTATTTTCTCAATTTCCAAATGATACGTAATTGATTTTATGTGTTATTTATAGATGAGCTCGTGAAAAAAAGTCTTTTGCGTTATTATATATATGCAATAGAGAATGATAATGCGTTCAGATTTTTTCACTCTCTAGATTAGAGAATCTTTATGTAAAATAAAAATTCTCATTAAAAAAAAATGAATAGAATATAATGCATCACAATAAACATCATCTATCTATTTTTTTTATCAAGTTATTCTTTTACATGATCAACACTATAGAAAAGTGTTGAAAAAATTAGAAAATTTTGAATAGTGAAATATGATAAAAACAATGCGAGCTTCCAATTGATATATATGATAGAAATCGTGGATGAAAAGGGATTGACGGAAAACGCCGAAAAGGAAAATATCGAAAAGGCAAAATGTCGAAAAAAAAGTAGAAAAAGGTCGAAAAGGAAAATATAGAAGGTGAAAATATCGAAAGGAAAAATGTCGAAAGAAAACATGTTGTAAAACACTTATTTGGATCATCTCATGTGTTATTGATTCTTGTCAAATCAGTTCATTTTCTTGAACTGTAGCATCTATCGTCATTTTTGGGAAACAAACTCAACAATTCAATATAATTGCAATGATAGATGCTATATCCACATTCTTATTTTCACATTCTGATGGTCATGAGCATAGGTGTGGCATCCAGCGTTACAGTCACAATGAGTTATTGAATATTCTTTCCGAAAAATGACGATAGATGCTACAGTTCAAGAAAATGAACTGATTTGACAAGAATCAATAACACATGAGACGATCCAAATAAGTGTTTTACAACATGTTTTCTTTCGACATTTTGCCTTTTCGATATTTTCCTTTTCGGTGTTTTCCGTCAATCCCACTGAACTAATACTTTTCCATCAAAATAGATCAAGATATCAAATAGAAATGTGAACTAAGGATGAGATTATATATATATGATTTGTGTCAGATTAATAAAAGACTTTCTTTTCAAGGTGCACATGAGAAGATATGAAAAATGAGTGTATGAACTTTTTCATCAAGAAAAGCCTTCTAATAATTATTTTACAGTTATTCTTCAATAATGAGTTTAATATACGTCATCATTATATCATTGAAGACATAAGTTTCCTGCCAAAATAAAATTATAGCCCGTATTATTTTAAATTATTACTAGGTACAGAAGATCAAGTTTTAACGATGCAATTTTATGATATTTTCAAGTTCAAAATACTTTATTGCTTTTTCTTTGTCACTTTGAAAAAGCATTAAAGATACATTAAGAGAATGTAAAATAGCAGCGCTAGTGGCGCTAAAACCAATATGGCCCATAGAAAACGCGTTTTTTAACGGAGGCATTGGTTCAATTTATTAAATCATCAAGGTATGTTGATAGTCAACATCATTTGCTTTTTTTCTTTTCTGAATATTTTTTTTCTAAAAAAGAACCTTTGTGACCTTTTTATTAACCACATAATATAGTTTTCTTTTTTTTTTGCTTTCCTTTTTCTTGTTTTATATGCTCCTTATTGCATACACATATTTGCCTACGTTGAATACCGCAAGGAAGTAAATACACATACAAGTGTTAATGAACGTGCGCGTTTTAAGGGCTTTTATCTGATGATTATGTCTACTTAATATGTATAGTGCGTCTCTATGAAGCCAGCAAAGTTGAGCTTCAGTTTTTATATTTCTAATTCTTATAGATTATTATCAGAAACAAAATTTTATATATAATATATAGAGACATGACTTCTTCAACAACTACAGCACGAACTGCTCGTAAAGGTGGTGAAAGAAAATCAAAATCAGTTCGTGCAGGTAGATTTGACTGTTTATTTCTCATCATCTATTTATACTTTTAAAGGTGTACTCTTTTCGGTACCACGTTTTCATCGTTATATAAAAAAATCAACACCAAAAAGTCGTGTAACTATGGCTGCTGCAGTTTATACAGCTGCTGTAGTATGTAGAATAGTTCACGAGAATTCTTTGATTTAATTAATATATTTTCGTAACATTAGATCGAATATTTAACGGCTGAAGTTCTTGAATTGTCTGGTAATGCAGCTAAAGACCATAAAAAACAACGTATTAATGCACGACATATATTTTTGGCTGTTAGCATCGATGAAGAACTGAAGAAAGTATATATTTCTTTCTTTTGGCTATCCTATCGATATGAAAATATTTTCTTTTGAATTGATTTTTATTAGCTACTTCATGGTGTAACGATTCCACAAGGCGAGTGAAAACAAATTTACAACAAAGTTAAAGCTTTCTTTATTTAATTAGGTGGTGTATTACCTCATATTAATGCATTCTTACTCAAAAGTAAATCAGGCAGTAGTGATCAAAGTCAACCTGCACAAAATGTAAGTTTAGTAATTTTTAATAGGAAGCATGTAACAAAGTTTTGATTTATCTAAATATGTTTTTAAATCTAATGATATTTGCAGACACAAGCATCTCGTTCAAATACTACAACAGTAGCTCGAGTACCTTCAGCACTTGCAACAAAAACTTCATCAACAGGTGCTGGTAGCAGCAAAGTAAGTTCAAAAGAAGCAAGTTCATCCTAAACAACAAGTTCATTGAAGACCATATTTGTAACTGCTGAACTGATAACTAGCTCAGCTGAAATAACAAATCAATAGAAGACGTTAATTGTAATATTCTCATAAGAGAAAATCTATAGTTTTCACTTTTTGTTGTATATCAATAGCTTTTAGTATGTTTTGTAATCCAAAAAGAAAAACATTTTTTTATTAACATTGATTTTTAATAAAAAAAAAAAGGTTTCGGGTATGCTAACCTATCTGTTTATTTTAACTACATTATTTTTTCTTTTCATTTTTTTTATTTTATCCTATTTTCAGTTATAATCTTCATGTTAGTTTTATAATTAATTTATCCGTTAATTAACTTTGTTTCAATTTTCTTTGATGAGCATAAGTTAATATTCTGATGTGTATTAGCATCTTTCAATAATTCATGTAGGTTTTAAAATAATAATAAAGTCTAGAAATATACAAGAAAAAGTAATGATTGCTGAGAAAGAAGTATGACATGAATTATGGCTTCATGTTCGATTGGAGAAATAAATTTTTCTTATTACGTTTTTGAATTATTTGTTTAATAATCTGAAGAAAACAAAAGCATTTTTAAATGCATTTATTTTTCTAGTTAGCATATGCTATATTCAAGCCTATATTTTTGTCAATGATGTTGAGCTCTTCTTCTTACGAGAGAACTGTTACAGGTGCTAAAAAGTCTTCGATTTCATATTTTGTGAATTGATTAGAGAATAACGAGCCTATAGTTTCAAGTTTTGACCGAAATCGTTCATAAATGTTGGACATTGTAGTTTGCAAGTATTTAGTTTCCAAAAATCAATGTTTTTCAGGAAAAAATGTCTAAATTTTTTGAAAATTTAATATATTCTAGATTTGATATCCAAAATTCGGGAAATTTTTTACATGCACCTCTAACCAGAAGCCGTTTGATCCACTTTTTTCTGTAACTGATAATATTTGGTTAGCATAAAACATAAATACAGCTTTAAACAATAGTCAGCCTGATTTCTTATGTTTCTTATTTGTTGATTAGGATGACTAAATCTTATGTACCGATTGTTACTGTGTAAAATGTAGATCGATATCGATAATATAAGATTTTAAGCATGTCCCTTTTTCTTTCACAGTGCTATGAAATCGTGTTTCTGAAGCCACATTTATCGAATCCTAAAATGTCAAATAAAGTTATTTCGAAGTGCATTGGCTTTGAACCAAAAGTTTTACGGTATTGGCTTGTCTAATTTACCAAAAACTTGTCTGCTACGTACTATGTCGAACAAAAGAAATACAAATATTGTTAATATTGCCAAATATGATTTGAATGTTACATCCAGTGTCAGATAGGTTAATCATATGACAAGGCGAGCATAGCACTTGTTTGCAGCAAATGCTAACTATGCATAATATAAAAATAAACTATCTTTGTTATAAATTTATTCGGTAAAAAAGAAAATATTCAACATTTAAAAACATGAAGTCGAAACCATAATTTTACTGAACTATTGATGTTCTAAAGATACAACTCATCAAAAGGTCGATTGCTCATGTATTTGATAACTTGAGCTCGTATCGTCTTAAGACTTGTGTAATCTAACAATCCTCTAATTAATTCACAAAAAAATGGGATCGAAAGCTTTTTAACATCTCAGAAGGTTCCATCGCAAATCGAAATTGGTGGACAAAAAACAAAAATAAAAGAATGAAACAATATCATGTGACAATCGTAAGCGTGATCAGTTATTATATCAATGAAAAAAATATTGTTACAAATCTGATGGTGTGTTCAACTCTAAGAAAAAAATATTGATTTGTTCTTTAAATTGAACTAGCAAGTTTGTGTTCAATGGTTTAATATAATAGTCGATCTCCAACTCGTTCCTGATTGACAATACATATTATCTCAGACATGAACAGAAAAATATTACGACAGTACCATCTAAATAATAAGCATACGTTTGATTTTCTAGGATAGAATAAAGTTATAAAAAAATAAAGCTCATTCTATACATTTCAAGTTTAGAACAAATTGCTTTTATATAGACAAAATACAAGTATGACAAAGAACCTTATTCATTAGTATAAATTAAGAAAATTAATGAGATGAATCATAAACATAGACGATTGAAAATGCTGTTCTCTTTCAAATAGAGAGACAATTTGTTTTCGTCAAGAGTTGAAAAGTATCAATTAGAGAATTGCAGTTTGCTTAAGTATATCAATGTTTTCATCATTTTTAATAACTATATATCGATCTAGTCAATATGTTCATTTTTTATTTATATAACAGTATCTTGACAATATTGTAGCAATGATTCAACTTGCGAAATAATATTATCGAAGTAAACGAGTTTGTTACCGTTACTTGTTTATTCTACTAATCGAACAAGTATCTAATTGGAGAAATATTATAATTTTTTTCCATGATACAAACTACTTGATCACAAATGTTTTCACTATTACATTGATTGTATTAACAAAAATATGGAATCATCTGAATTTCACGAATTTTTTTCTGTTTATTTGTTGTTGTAATCTTTGCAAGCTGGTATTAAAATCTATAAGAATATTAAAATTGAAAATTTTCTCTGTATTATTTTAATAAACACAGACACAATAACACTATCACAAGACTGGAGTGTTCTTTCACTATTGAATAAATGAGTGCCTGTGAATGAAATTAAACTTCTTATATAATAGAGATGCTATAATTAGGGTCTTGCAGGAACGACTGTAGAAAAGGACGTTCCCCTAAAACCATTTTATTTTGTTTTTATATCTGTTCACATGCTTTAATTACTCATAAAAAGTATTTTCATATATAATAAACTATAAAAAGTTTTTAGAAACATTTAGAGGGTTATTTTTTCATATCCTAATATTGGATCAACCAAAATATTTTCTTTGAAAGGCCAAAGTCTGAGCAAGAGTAAAAGTCAACATAATTTAAAATTTTTACATTCACTTTATTATAATGAAAGTTAATCCCTAAACGAAGCTCAAAATATCTTTTTAATCGAATTTCTCGATACTTTCAGTCGCTTACCAGGCAATTTCGTGTGTCTCAAACTTTGAGTTACACTTATTCATAAATAGAGCTTTTTAATTCCTATTATTCCGTCTATTTGGAGTTTTTCTAGTTACATTGTTGATTGAAAGATTCTCTCTCATAATGCTTCCCAGCTCGAATATCAATTTGGTAATAATCATGGAATGAAAAATAGTAATAAGTTTGTAAGAATTCTGCAAACTAAATGGACATTTTTTAGAATCTATAACTTCTATACAGTTGTTTTAGTTCTATCCTAATGGTGTAGTTTTGTTACGATACGTAGGCACTGAAATAGTACCCATTTCTAAATAAATGTTTTCTGGTAGTGCAACAGTTTCTTAAAATCAATAGGAGCGATGCTCTCGCAGAGTATAAATCAACCAGATAAAACAAGTTTTTTCTTTAATGTATGCACTCTTCAAACTTTCACTTTTCAATACAAAACCAGATTGAAGTTCACATGATGTTAAATTGCTAAAAAATAAATTTCATTCTTCTTCTGAAAACTTTTTGCATCTGTTATTAATTAGCAGAAAAATAACAAATATCTACTAACAAAAAATCAGAAAATTCATTTATTATTTGTTACATTATTATCTAGTTATCACAACTATTATTTTCTTGATCATGATTACCTTCGAAAGGAATATTACTCAAATTGTCTATCAATACAGCATTTATATTATCATTCGCCTCTGCAATGTTTTTGTTTTGCTGACGTGCTACATAGTATTTTTTTTCTCCCTTTTTAATTGTTCAAATGATACAAGAAATCATTATCTGAACTTCACTTTGGTAAAATTTGATATATGTGTAATAATTGATTTATTTAAATTACAATGTACTTCCTTTATCATATTTTAAGATTATCGAACGTTGCGCAAAGTGCATCATCAACATAAGTTAATATATGGCAATGATACTTTTTCTTAGACGCAAAAAATGAAATCATAAAAGGAACTCGGAAAACTTTACAAAAAACGAGAATCAAGTAAAGACATTCTCTATTTGGCGATTGATTCTTTTGTCAACAACTATAATAACAATCTAATGAGAATAGTTTACGCTTATTATTTCTCAATAATAGTATGTTCCACAATTCAGATAATAAGTACATATAATTAGTTACGATAATTTCTAATAATTATTGATGATTTCAATTGATTGCTGCTATTAAAAATTGCTTTGTTTCTCTTTATGAAAATTTTGGCCTCTTTCTAGTATCAATAATCAAAATCATGTGAAATGAGGGAGATTGATCCTAATCAACTCATGTTTTTGCCGCTATTCAGAATCTAATGTTTTTCTTCCAAAAAGACTAAGTCTCAAAAAAAGACAATCACATATTTACTTGCAGATTTCCATGTTTAGGAGCTTTTGAACCAATTTTGAACGATACTCTTCTACAATTAAGCAATATTTGACCAGAACAAAACTATAATTTTGAAGTAGAATGGTTAACAATCCTACTGATATATAGAACTTTTATATAGCATGATATAGCAAAAGCACTTAATAAGCATTGTGAGATATTTCAAGCATTTATGGAGGCCTCGTCTAGGATTCATTCTCGAAATGAATTCTTTTGATGACAATGACATACTTGAATGATACTAAAAGATAGTTTCATAAACTCAGTTTTTTTATCGTTAATCCAAATAAATCGGATTCACAATTCGAATAAAATAAAATTTGTTTTTGTTATTTAGAAAAATGTCTCAGTTGTTTTAATATCAATCATCATGTTTGAAAACAAACGAAGCGTTCACGAGTATTATTAAACCTTGACATTTTTTAAAGTCCCACGTCTTGTAGCAAGAAAATTAAAGTACACATATGCTTCGGCAACTCGCTAAACTTGACCGAACCATGCACAAAAGAATGATAAAATAGTTTTTGCTTTTATTTTGAATTTCGTTACCTTTATAGACACGATGAACAATTGTCATATCGTGTA